CACAGCCTTCGTTACTTTAACATTTCTCACGTTCTTCATAGAACCGATGAGAATGTTTCAGTACTGTTCGTCCCGGGACCAAAACCTAACATACTTATTACAATCGCATCCCCTTTGACATTGCCTCACACTTAACCCAAGTAGGGTAAAGTGGAGTCAACGTCCATTCCCAGTCATAGTGGTGCGAACAGGTTGGTCCAGATTGACCTTTCTTTAATTGGAGGGGTGGTGGGGTCCCACATTGAGGCTTGTGTGCTATCATAGGGCTTTCTTGGGGCCGAGCGCACATGTTTCAAGTGGATCGTCGTGGGCATCACCAATTAGGTAAGTATGCCACTATGACGATCACTTTGCAGGTTTTTCGGCGTGACGGTTTTACCTCTGACACTACGTAGGGATTAACGATCAAATAAAATCACTTCCAAATTTGGTAAAATTCCGGAATGAAATGGTAATTTTCCAATTACTGATCTTTTATCAAAAAAGACAACTCCGAGTTTGTAAAATCCCAGACTGAAATAGGTAATAGTAAACAATTGAATGATGTAATTGAATTTCATAATTACCTATTTTGATTAAGAAATACGGGTTTACTAATTTCCTCCCATATAAACATAGATATTCCGTTGTGAATGATTAGTAGAACCAATCAGAAGTGTGAACCGACAGCTTCTTAACGCTAAATGATCCCAGAAAATAGTTTGGATGTGTCGATCATTTGACGTAATATAAAAAATTTTATATGTGACTGACGTGCGTGCGTATTTACATACATATTAATTTAATAATGTCAAACTTCTAAACATACCTACAAGTACCAAGCAACATGCATTCAAGAAAAAAAAATAAGAAAGAGTGCATTTATGAGGTCCGTATAAAAAAATCTAAGCATTTAAATTTTATCAAAAATTATATAACATGAATACTAATAATTCGTTCATAATTGCTTTAAAGCAGTTTTCGTTCATAATTGCTTTAAAGCAGTTCAAAAGTGGCCCATATACGATAAAAATATATTTCACTCTTTTAATCATTATACTAATGTATTCAAGTTTCTGTTTCGAGCTATGGTTCGGTTATTCCAATTACTCTGAAGACCCAAATCTTCAAAAAGAGTTTAGTCCAACTAATCGCACACTTGGTTTCGATCATATTTATGTTATTCATCTTGATTATCGAACGGATAGATTTGAAAGATTAAAAGAAATATCATCCTATCTTGGGTTAGACTTTGATTATTTTCCTGCCGTTTCAAAATATGATGAAGAATTCCTCCGTAGGTTTGGCACTGCAAATATGGACCTTTCTCAAAAAGCTTGTTTTTTAAGCCATTATTTAGTCTATAAAGAAATAATTGATAAAGGATATAATAGTGCCTTAATTTTAGAAGATGATGTGGACTTTGAACTTAACATTACCGTTATCATGAATGATATTCTTCATGATCTACCTTCTTCTTGGGAAACATTATACGTAGGCAGTTGCCAAGAACTTGTCGGTGAACGTGTAGGAAAAAACTCTTCCCTCCATAAACTGTATATGTCTGTGTATCCAATTTGCACACATGCTTATGCTGTTTCGTATTCAGGCGTTCGCAAAATAGTAGAACTGATTGACCCTGTGACTCCTTGTAGTACGATTGATCAGTGTCTCAAGATAGAAATTACTGATGGGAGACTCTCTTCATATACTGTTCACCCGCATCCTATTGTGCAATGGAAAGCTGATGACAATCCAACTGATATCCCTATATCTTGGGAAACATTACATAGTTTATATAATTCAACTTTGCGCTTTCTTGGCTATAATGGGACTAATGGTATTCGTAATTACAACCAAACCTCTGTGTAGAGACTAGACTCTTGACGCCTTGCATTCAGAGAACAATATGACAATATGTTTGAGCCAGAGCTAAATATTGTATTTATTGAGATGTCGTATTTAGGAGAGTTATATTTAGAGAGTTCTGACTGTAACATCAGATATATTTTTTTCACAAAATATTAAAAGAATTTATTCAACCTTTGAATTATAATACCTACATCTTAAGAAATATCTATAGAATTTAATGTTCAAGGAAAATTTTAAATTCTATGAACTCTGGGAATTCAATATTGAAATCAACCAGTCAATATAATTTAATTTTGAATTGATTTTATAATATTTTAATAAATTTGGGTTTATAAATATGTATATGTACCTTAAGGTAGTGCCTGCATTGGGCCCCAAGGCCCGGCATGCAAATATTTGCGGGCTTGGGCGGGCCTAAAAAAAAAGTTTCCAATTGCGGGCCAGACTGGGCCGAACACGTTGAAAAACAAGTGGGTTAGTCATGGCAAAAAAATGTCGAGATTACGTGATCAACGATCTCTTCCGACCTCTGACGCAGCCCGATA